TGTGAAGTTTTGTAAGGCCTATCAGGAGGCAGGAGAGAAAGTCTCTAGTTTTGTACTACAGTTGGAACCCCTACTCCAAAAAGCCATAGGAAAAAATGCGGTATTACAAAGGAATGTGAATCAGACTCGCCTGAAACAAGTCTTAAGTGGGGCCAACCTTACCGACAAACTTCGAGACAGGCTTAAGCTAATGAAACAGTGAAGGAAGCTCCTGGTTTCTTGGCACTGGTGAAGCTGCTGCGTGAGGAGGAGGAGTCGGAGGCCACCATAGGTCCTGCAAGGGAGAGTCTGGATGGGTTGGAAGCAGGCATCAGGTCTTCTGCCAGAGCCAGTGGTTTCTGAGCAGTATCTTTCCCTGGACCTGGCAACACTCTACAGGCCAGGGCTTCCCAAAGTTCCCGGCAGAGGAGGGGCAGAGGCCAGCACCGCAGAGGGGGTGTGCCAAGGGCTGGTTCTCGAAGTTTAGGAAAATGGAAACACCACACATTCTGCTATAGTTGTGGAGAATATGGCCACATCAGGGCACAGTGCAGCAATGCTCCAAACCGTCCCTTGATAAAGCAGATGAGACAGGCTGCAATTGAGTCAGGAAACAGCAACTGGGTTTGGAACGAAAGCCATCCCAAGCCCAAGACCAAATAGGCTCAGGAAAACAGGGCAGTTCTTACTAAAGGCTGAGGACACAAAAGAAATATTGGAAAAATGGGAAGGGGCATTCCACGCAAACAGCAGAGGACTTGAGTGGGGCAGAGGGGCAGGGCAGTCAGGGCCAGGCCAAGCCCCCTCATCCTCCACCAGCTGAAAGGTACTGCACCCACAAGGCCAAACTCTGTTCACGGAGAAGCAAGCACAGGGCCCTGAAGACATACCAACGACACAAACAGAGGACCAGCACATCCAGCACATGGGGTGCTCCAGCCACGAGTGGGGACCCCACCGTGGCAGGGGCTGAAGGAGTTACAGCTGGGGACTCTGGCGTCAGCCCCATCATCTGGCCAACCCCAAATGCCTACCCTGTGGACTCAGAGCTAAGAATGCCCACAGGCCCTGAGGCCCCGTGGGGCCTGGAGGAGCCTTCCCCACAGCCACCCCTGCCAGAAGAAGCCAGCATTGGTGAGGAAGAGCTGTGCGGCAGAGAAGTGATGGCCCCCCGGAGGGGGGGGCGCAGGGTTCAGCCCGTCTTCAGGATTATCTACACTGCTCTAGGGGAGCCCCATGAAGGCAGCACCCTTGAGCCCCTGCGCAAGTGAAGCCAGGAGAGCCTAGCGCCAGCCTGCTGGCAGTTCCTCCCCCTGCAGCCTGGAAGGGCTATGAGGGCAAAGAGAGCAAAAACAGGGGAGAAGAGCCCTAGGAGAAAGCCCAGGCTCAGCCTGGCAGGGGGCTGGGTACTTGGGCTAGTATCCCACAGCTGGTCTTGGTGGGGGAGGGGGTGCAGGGAACTTTTGTTCTAAAGCAGGAGGAGCAGGAGGAAAGGAGAAGGAAGTGGAGGAAGATAACTAGGAGGAGTAGGAGGAGGTGAGGTGGAGGTGAGAAGGAGAGAACAGAGGTGAGCAGGAGAGAAGGAGGAGGAAGAGGAGTAGGAAGTGGAAGAGGTAGAGGAGAAGGAGAGGAAGAAGATGAATGGAAGTAGGAGAAGGAGGAGGAATGGGGAGGTCAGGAGGAGGGGAAGTTATGGGGGGGCAGTGTTTTGTTCTGTTTGTTTGTGCAGGGCCACTGGAGATCTGGAGACAGCAGGCAGGAGAACGGGGACTGGCCTGGCAAACCACCACTCAGCAGCTGCCAATGCCAAGTCCACCCCAGCCCCAAACCCTGCCAACTTGGGCAACTAGCCTGGGAGCACCCCTGAGCAGCCTTCCCAGGCCTAGATGAGGGGCACCTGAAGACTTCTGCCTCCCACATGGAACTGGGAGACATTAGGGGCCACATCAACAGTGCCAGTCGTGGGGATGTCCATTCTCCATCCTCGGGCAGGCTGCTCCTGTACTGGGAGCCCCCCACCCTATTTCTCTGTAGGGCCCATAGTGCCCCACCTGTCAAGTAATCACTCCCTCCCCACACACACACTAGCCATGATTCCTGTGCAGAACGTCCAGGTGTGTGTGAATCTGGAGCCTGTCCTCGCCTACCTACTGGGGCAGCCACCTCTCAGCCCCAACACGTGCTGTGAACCCCACTGCCAGCCAAGGCTCTGCCGGCCCTCGTCCAGTGTTGTGAGCTCAACCTCTGCTTTCTCGGTGTAGATTTAGGCCAACCGCTGCTTGTTCTTGTGGAGATGTGTGTGTGCTTCTCTGAGCAGTTCCCCACCACGGAGACCAGTTTCAGAAGACGACTAGAAGGACTAACGAGGGCGCAGCTGGCGCTCACCCAGTGACCTCGGGGAGGAAGAAGTGGACCAGGACAGAAGGCAGCTGCTGGAGGCTCCATGGGGACTGCTCTGATGTGCCACCCAGTTGTTCTCTGTGACTCAGTTTCCTCTGCTTGGTGGAGTGTCCCCTGCTGTGTTTTCCAGTGTCCTGTGTCTGTCCTGTGCAGGCCATAGGGCAGGGCCAGGCCCCAGCATGTCATCCAGAGATGGAGGGGAGCCCAGCAGTGAGTGGACATCACCAGGGTCCATAGTCCTGCAAAGTCCAATCAAGGGACCCTCAGGGAGGGGGACTATGGTGGGAGGGCCACAGTGTGGAGTATAGCTGAGGCACTTGATCTGAAACCCTAAGAGTGGGGCCTGACCTATGATCTCCTAGTAGCCTGTTAAAACTTCCTCTCTGTGTTGTCATTCCTTTCCTCAATGGTTTGAGTAAATGCTTCTCTTCAATAAATTTCATTGAATGTTAAATCAGAGATTCATCTCTGCTGTGGGCAATTGAGAGAAGGGTCTGCTGGGGGACGGGGTTGGGGGGCAACTGTGGCCNTTGAATGTTAAATCAGAGATTCATCTCTGCTGTGGGCAATTGAGAGAAGGGTCTGCTGGGGGGCGGGGCTGGGGGGCAACTGTGGCCCGGTACTCCAAGGGAAGGGACAGCAGGCAGGACTGGAGGTCCTGCGTTCCCCGATGGGGATATGGGCACCCGGGGTGCCATCAGGTCAGGGAAGTCACACGTGCAGAGACCGGCTGGCCATAGAAGGACCTAGGACCGAGTCATAATATCCTGCCAGGAGCTCAGTGCTGGACTCCGGGGTGAGAGGGAGGTGCCTGCCCACCCCTCTGCAATCAGCCTGCCCCTTCCAGCTGACAAGTGGCCAGTTTTGGTGTTAACAATGGGGGATGTTTGGAGATCAGGGAGGTGTGATGGCTGAGGGATGGAGGGTGGGCCACGTGGGGTTTCACAGGGCTTATGTAATTCTAGTGGGTAGGAAAGGCTGGGACAGCTAGCCTGAGTATCCCACAGAGGGGCTACTTTCACCCTACCCAACACGCCACAAGGTTGCATACCTTGAAGAATGAAAGCTAAACTACAGTAGTGTCTAGTGAAGGCCAAGTTCAGAAACTTCCAGGTCTTACACGTGTAGAGAAGGAAGGTGCCCTACAGCAGAAGCAGTCTTTGCATTCACAGTAACAACCAGTACAGTAAGACACACCAGGGGGAGCAGCCAACTACTTAAGGCCTAGGAGGCTGTAGGCAGAGCCATTAGGATGTCCTAAAGAAATCTCTTATGGGTGATGGGCATAAATCCTTTTCTGGACCCACACCCATTAACCTCAATGACCAAAGCAGAGGTGAGACTGAGAAGAAAGATTCAATGAACTAATTCCTGCTATCGGTGCTCCAGCCCAGGGGACCTGGCAGCCCTTCTTGGATCCTGCCCCAAACATACCCCAATGATGATGTGGAGTCCCAGACTACTGTTGCCCCTCCAGCCTCACCCCCAGCAGAACCTTCCCTCAATTGCCCACAGCAGAGAAGGGTCTCTGATGTAACATTCAATGAACTTTATTGAAGAGAAACATTTACTGACTCCATCAAAGAAAGGGAATGACAACACAGAGAGGAACTTCTAATGGCCACTAGAGCCCATAGCTCCCCCTCACACTAGGGTCCCAGACCAGATGCCTAGCTGTCCCCCACACCGTGGCCTTCTCAGCATATCCCCCTCTGCGAGGGCCCCACGATCTGCCCTTGCAGCACTATGGACACTGGCAATGTCCACTCACTACAGGGCTCCCCTCCCCCTCAGGACTACATCCTGGGGGCCTGGTCCTGCCCTGTGGCCTGCACAGGACAGACACTGGAAAACACAGCAGGGGACACTCCACCAAGCAGAGGAAACTGAGTCACAGAGAACAACAGGGTGGCACATCAGAGCACAGTTCCCATGGAGCCCCCAGCAGCTGCCTTCTGTCCTGGTCCATTTCTTCCTTCCCATGTCACTGGGTGAGCGCCGGCTGTGCCCTTGCCCATCCTTATCGCGTCTTCTGAAACTGGGCTTGGGGTCTCTGTGGTGGGGAACTGCTCAGAGAAGCACACACACATCTCCACAAGAACAAACAGCGGTTGGCTTAAATCTACACCAAGAAAGCAGAGGTTGAGCTCACAACACTGGACGAGGGCCGGCAGAGCCTTGGCTGGCAGCAGGGCTCACAGCATAACACGTGTTGGGGCTAGGTAGGCGAGGACAGTCACCAGGTTCACACACACCTGGAGGTTCTGAACAGGAACCACGGCTAATGTGTGTGTGAGGGGGTGATTACTTGACACGCAGGTGACTATGGGGCCTACAGAGAAACGGGGTGGGGGCCTCCCAGTACAGGAGCAGCCTGTTCCTCAGGATGGGGAATGGGGGTCCCCAAGACTGGCACCCTTGTGATGGGCCCTAATGTCTCCCAGTTCCATGCAGGTGGCAGATGTCTTCAGGTGCCCCTCTCCTAGACTGGGATGGGCTGCTCAGGGGTGCTCCCAGGCCAGCTGTCCAAGTTGGCAGGTTCTGCGGCTGGAGCTAGGTCTGGGGCTAGGGCCAGATGTGGTGTTACCATGTGGGGGCACCTCTCCCCACCCTTTTTAGTGTCAAACATGGTCATCTTGTTCACTTGGAAGGACTGATGGTGGTGGAGGATGCTGGGCCTTGTGAGTATATTTGTCCAGGGAGGACATGGTGGGGCTCATCTCCCCAACCCCGTCCTCATTTTCTGACTCCTCCGGGATGGACCTGAGCCCCTCCTGGGGGTGCTCCTTGACCTCTTGGTCTCCTGACTGGGCCAGGCCCTCTGGCTCACTGTCAGGACCTCCTGGACCTGTCCCGGAAGCACTGCCCATGTGGGCAGGCCTGGGGCCTCTGAGGGTCTTGCCTGACCTAGGCTTGCAGGGGCAGGGTTATGGTTGTCACCATCCTCCTGCTCGTCGTCCTTCTCCTCCTGCTCCTTCTCTTCCACCCTGTCATTCTCTGCCTTAGCTTTGGCTCTGGCATCAGCTTGGGCATTAGCCCGGGCAGCAACCCCTTCTCCCGGCTGGACTCTCTTACTCCTGGCTAGACTGGCCTCCCATGCATCAGACTCCCGAACCAGCTCCAGCATCTCCAGGAAACTTGAACACCTCCCAACCATTCTCAGTTTCCTCAGGGCTTCATCCAGGGGCTCAATAAGGTTGGCCCTGGTGAGCACCTGCCTCAGGCGCAAGTGGTTGGCTGAGGCTCTGGCCAGGGCCCCCTTCTCAATGGCTTTCTTTATCAGGACTTCCGGCCACAACACAAAAGCAGAGAGATGCTCGCTTGACTGCTGCTGAGTGGTCAAACACTTCATCCGGAGTGTCGCCTGGGACTCCTTGTCTCCAAACACCTGGATCAGGGCCACCAGGCAGTCCTGCGCTGCCCTGGCAGGGTTCTCCGCCAGGACCTCATGCACCAGCTGCAGGGCCGTCCCTCAAAGGTCTTCTATCAGCCTCCTCCTCCTCTCCCTTTCTGAAACCCCTTGCCACACATGCAGCATGTCCGAGGTGTGGT